GGAGCCCTCGGTGGCACAGTGGGTTAAGGCAGGACTGAAGACTGACAGGTTGCAGGTTTGAATCTGGGGAGAGCGCAGATGAGCTCCCTCTGTCAGCTCCGGCTCTCCATGCAGGGACATGAAAGAAGCCTCCCACAAGGATGGTGCAACATCAAAAACATTCTGGCGTTCCCTGGGCAATGTCTTTGCAGATGGCTAATTCTCTCACACCAGAAGCAACTTGCAGTTTCTCAAGTCGCTCCTGACACACAAAAAATCTGTAATGAGCAAACTTTTGTATGTATAGTAAAATGGGTGCATTTATAATTTTCAAAAGCACATCTCTAACCCTCAAAATGCTTGTGTGAAAATTGGACACAATCAGTGTTTTACACTTTTCATTATAGGGCCTATCTATGCTGATCATTTAATGTAGTTTCAAACTGGTTTTGAAGAAAGTGGATTTGTTGTGTAAATAGAAAATCTACATAGAAAATCTTGGAACCTGTTTGAAGCCTGAATGATGATTACACAAATTACAGGGCAGTGTGCACATTAACTGCTTTCTTTCTTGAGTTTTCGTGGGAGTTTGTTGTCTGGCTCCCTGAGTTTGAAGGTCACTGTAGATGGGCCATAAACTTATTCCAGTAAATGGTTGTTTCTTTAGCTTATCTTCCTGAAACATGGATAGTGCCAGGCACTTAGAAAGGCCAATATAGAGTGCATTGTTCTTGTAAAAACAAATATCATACAATGCAAGTCCCGAAGTAATGTGGTGTCCCCCTTACTAATCTGTTGCTCTTTCTGTTCTCTCTTTAGCTGTTGTAGTATCAGAACAAAAATATTTTGTTCCTTGATATCATAGGTCTCTGTTGCCATATTTCAGATGTCTCCAAAAAAGAGAACACTTTTGCCTGGTTGTTAGGTCTCCATTATATAACATTGGAATGGGGTCCTCCATGTTTCAGTTTCATGCGAAGTTGCAAACACGATTTTTAAAATTATCATTCCATTTCCCAAGATTGGTTGTGTGTAGTGTTCCCTGGGATTTAATGTGGCCTCCAAACCTGTCACCATGCCATCCATACTAGCTCAAACTTGGTGGTTTTTTCTTAAACAAAAAAGACTCCCTGTGCACTCCAGAGCATGTGGGGCAAGTTTTTTCTAAATTCCCTCTCTTTGAGTCATTTTATCTGGAGAAAACCTGAGAAAAAAAAACGTTTTCCCCAAAGCCACAGTGATTTGGGAACACTTTATTTCCTGTGCCAAACATGTCTTCTTACCCTGGAATCTCCCTGTGTGATCATGAAGATGCGAGGGCCTGTTTAATTCGAGTTGAAAAAAGATTGTATAAGACATAATGAAATGAGGCTCTCTGTAGTGGTTGAACATGCAGCCCCTATACACCAAGAAATTTCCTGTATGCATTCACATATGTAGCATATAGTGTATCTGAGCCTGATGCCCCTGCCAATCCTCACCAGGCAGCAGCCACTGCAAGTAACAGGAGTCTGTTCTTCTCTCAGTCAGGAAGCAGTTGACTGCCATTCCCAGCCTCCCCATTAGTAATATACAGTACAATAGTTAAATCAGTCTCTACCGCACTTTCCCCTCATACCGGTTTGCTCATGGGAGGAAGGCAGAAACATCAGTCAACTGCCTCCCAGTTGTCAGAGGCACAAATCTCTGTTGTTCACAGTGATTGATGTTTGCTGGTATGTGAGGTTTGGGGACTTTCTACGTATTCCCTAAACTAGTAAACATATAAGGATCATGAACATGAGTCATAATTGTTTAACTCTAGGTTACATATTTGTAACTTTCTAAGTGAATTCCAGCCTTTCTTAGTAATGATGTATTATTTGAGTACATCTCCACAATCTGGAGTATGTATTATTATACATGGAATGTGTCACTGACCAGAATTTGACATTAGAAACTTAAGAAATGATGCCTGAACAAGGGATTTGATGAAATGAAAAAACAATAATATAAAATTAATTTACCAGTGATAGAAATGTCTAATCCTTAACATAATTATCTGGAGACCGGTTTTACCTCATTACCAAAAGTTGTGACTCTTCTGGTGCAACCCTTGTTCATTTAGGTGTACTTAGGCATGACAAAATTCTCAATAAACTTCATTCAGTGTGACGATGTTATCATTAGAAAGCATCTCCCCGCATAAATCTGGCAGCCCAGTTTATCTGAGAAGAGTTACTCCAAAGACAATATAATATTTTATAACAAACATTTATATTCCAGTTTGTAACAAAGTAATCCATCATATAAACAAATGAATTGGTCATACACTAAATAAATATCTCTAAATACTAAGAACTAACGTATTGTTTCTCTATTACAGGACCCGATCCGGCAAGTCCTCTATACACAAAACCCCCTCTGCAGTCACCAAGTTAAGTTCCATCTTCTTTTATGTAATTTAGTCTCAGCAAACAATGTTAATTTAGTTCCAGGCCAAGTACAAATATTCAACATTTTTATGCAGGAGAAGTTAAGTCGGATTTCCAGGATTCATTTCTTCTTCTTCTTCTTTGCTGCTGCAATGGCCAGTGTGAGTTTACTTTCTTCCCATAATGTATACAGTTAAGACATTTTAAAAACATAGATTTAAGTTACAAATAATATCTGGATTTTCAAACAACAGCCATGTTTGGCTGGATAAGGTCAAGTGTGACAACACAATAACAACAGATGTACTCTCAACAGGAAAGATTTTGGTTTCCATAGGCATTTCTGTTACGTTGCTTTCACTTTATCAATAACTGGGGAGAAAAAGAATTCAGAGAGACAAATACAATTTTGGGTTTTTCTAACATCCCAAATATTTCTAAAATTATGAGAACTGATTGTTTCTACACTGTATAGTAAAAATGTTGCATTTAGATTTGATTTCTCTCAAGGGTAGACTTTTTTGGCATAGTACACCCCCCCCCCCCAAACCCCCAGGTACCCTTTATGTACATAAAGATTTGGAAAAGTGGCCAAAATGGTTTTACTCCGTATGCTAAGAGTAGAGCATGGGCACAAACTACAGATGTCAGTTCACTCATTACAGCATCAATCTTCATTTCATTAATGGCCCTTCTACACTGCCAAATAAAATCTAGATTATCTGCTTTGAACTGAATTACATGGCAGTATTGACTCATATAATCCAGTTCAAAGCAGATAATGTGGATTTTCTGATTTGATAATCTGGACTATATGGTAGTGCAGAAGAGGCCTAAGGTACATTGAGAAGGTACATAGAGAAGCTGGCAGCATCATTGTAACTAATCCAAATATCTTACAACTCTTGAACAGAACATTGAAAATGAAAGGAGCTGTAAATATTTGGTACCACTGGGAACAATTTACTATACTTAGCTTTGAATCAAAACTAATTACATTTGCAATGGAATCTGTTCATGCATAAATGGCTATACTGTGATTGTGTGCAAGGGTATGGTACACTACATGAAAATGAAGTAGGACCAGGGAACAGCAAAAAAAAAAAAAGATCAACATGGCAGTAGTAAATACTGAAGAGCGGGATCACAGATCCCCAATACTATGAAAAGAAAGAATGCTTAAAATATGGAAGGAAAATCTTTTGGATTTTGTTCAGAGGAAATATTGTTCCATCCTCAGTTTTCAAATCTATCCACATCTTTCTTCAACACAAGCACCACTGCTTTAGGGAATGGCTTCCTAGTTGCAAACTATGCTGGCTTGGAAACTACATTCTGATGAATGATTTCCAGCAGAGTTGGTGCAAAAATTTCACTGCCTAAGGCAAAGGCAAAGTAGCAAGACCCTTGTTAAGATGCTCAAAATGACAAGATTGGCAGCTATTTCAAGTGCTTACAGGACACTGAAAGCAGCAGGAGACAGTGAAGGCCACAGTACCTGACCAGCTATGTTCTCCAACACTGTTTAACATTGGCATGTTAAACAGGCAGCATCTACTGCTTGAAGCAGGCAATTGATTCTGCTTAACTGCAGAGGTAAACCTATCATTTTTAAACGTTCTGAGAAGAACAAATGCTTTGATGCCTATGGCTAAAAGTCAGATAGCCATTTGTTAAGAGTTAGACCCACTGTATTATTATTGTACTTCTTAGTGGGATGTATAGAATTGCAATTTAATGCACCTCACCAGTCTTAGCTAATTCAAGGGCCCAAATTGAAGGCTTATGGAAATAATTTCAGAAATGATCACAAGCCCAAAGAAAGTTACTTTTACCTCCAGATGTGTTGTTCTCCTCAATGATGATGACTTTGAATGGGAAGTTCTTCCCTTGTATGGAAACCCTGATGGGAATTCTCATTTTTGAAGGTTTCTGGTTGAGTATCTACACATAGAGAAAAGCTCTCTTATTCAAAATCCTCATTATCCACATAAGGAGAGTGACAGAATGGGGTTGGTGGGAGGCAGGACTAGTGCAGTTCTTTCTCTGTTCCCTCTCTGTGAGATGACAGAACACACTTAGAATATGACTGCATAGGGCTTTAGTTAGGAGATAAATTATGACATATTTCAACTTGCATTGTAAGATTTTCTTTCCTTAAAAATAATAAATATTATTTCCTTGCTATTTTTGTTTTACAGTGTATTTCTGATTGCATTATACCATATTTGTACTGGGGTATGTGTTATGAATTCATTGCAAAAATTCAATCAAAAAGAACTTAAGGAAGAAGTCATTAACTGTATTGTAACATGCTTATAATCTGAAGTGACCATACCTTCATCTTTTACCAAAAAGAAAAAAATGACATTTTGGTTTCAAAAGTAATTGCTCTTTCAGTACTCCATCAATACACTAGGACATTTTGGGACTCTTCTGAGAGAGAGAGAGGTCTTAACATCATCCATTTCCTATAAATCATCACTAATATAAATATATTGGCAGGAACTTTGACCAGCAATAGTAATTTCATAGTTAAATAATTACATTTTTTCTTAACAAGGACTGAGTCAGAGTATCAATATCAATGCACAATTATAAAAAAGACAATATTAAGTACCCTTTTATTTCCCTTTGTATCAAGTGCAGTCTTTATGAAAGGAACAAAATAGAAAATTATTTATATATTAGAGGTTCATTCTACACAGAGACAAAGCAACATATTGTCTCCTTGAAAAAAGAGAATATGTGATGTCTGTATTTTTATTATAAATAACCATGTTCTGTTATGATTTCTTCTTGCTAGTAAATTAAGGACATTGGTTCAGAAACCTTTTCCACATATGCAAATATCTGACTAAGTCATGTTTCCTGAAGAAAACAGTCCAGTTGCATTTAGTGTAGACAGTTATTGAGGAGGTCATTTTAACACAACATTTAATGTTCTTGGTAGCCAGTACCATTGCACTTTAAAAAGAAATCCTCAGTTTGTGTGTGTTTTCCTCTCTTTTTTTTCTAAAAAATAGAGATATAGTCAGTCATCTGTAAAAAAAATTGTAAAGATGGAGAGTAATACTGTTTTATTTTAGTCCTCATATAAATTATAAACCCCAAGGTTGCTGGAGTCTCTTTCCCAGAGGAAGCATAAAGCACTTTTGTGGTACCTTCAGCAGAAAATATCTGTATCACATTAAGTTTGACAAACACAATCAAGATTGATATTGCATCCTGAAGCCCGAAGAGAACATTCTTCTGATGTGGTCCGCATGATGGATGTGCTCTGTGGGATTGCTTGATTGCCATGGTTTCACTCAAGTTTATAGATCAAAGTGAACAGAAAGACACCACACCTCTCAATTCAGTAGGAATCTGTAATGTTCCTGACAGCAGACTCTGTTCATTTGAGGTCACAGACACATCCTTTGGAAGACAACGGGGAGTTTAAGAATGCAACATCAACAACAAAAGCAGTAATGAGGTAACCTCCCTCAGGAAGGCAGAATAAGTTAGAATGTCAGGAGAAAGTTCGATTGTACCTGACACCTAAATGTTTTTCTAGCCAAATTTCAGCTAGTTGGGTAGCAGAGGCAAATGTACTTGCTTTGGATCCCAAACACATCTTGTATTGTTTAGGATCTAGGTTGGGATCACAATGTACTGGATGGAAAACATGCACAACACCCACTTCTTGGCTTCGAAATGCCTTTAGTCCAGAGGTTATTACTTTAGTAAAGAGGTCCACATCCTCAAGCCCCCAGCCTTGTATTGAGGTATCAAATCCACCAACATTCACAAGGTCACTTTTGTAAATACAGGTGATTCCAAAACCATAGTCTCTCCAAAATCCAGTTTTCTTTGTGAAAACAAAATTACTGTCTGCTGGAGGGTTGCCTCCATAAGTTACTTTGGGGTCATACTGACTAAAAATTATAGGATAATAAACCTGCTGCCCTTGAATGGTGTTGGCTCTACACCGCTGGAGAAAATCAGGGGTGAATATTAGGTCAACATCACAGAACAGAAGCAAAGTGTCATTGTCAAACTGAGAAGAAGCTGTTTCAAGACCCAAACCTCTAGAGAAAGGTCCTGTCATAGGAATAATGGTCATATCTGCCATAGGATATTTACTGCGATATTTACTGATTAACTCTGTGTGTTTACTGGAATCCTGACCAGTCTCAGAGTTAAAGAGGATAATTGCCAGCTTTACATTTTGCTTCGAGATAAGGCAAGTCTTTTCAAAGTTCTCCATAAATCTCTGGAAAGTATCATATCTCCCTGTGAGAGGCACAAGAATGTGAATCTTCTTGTCACTGTTTCCCTCTATATCTTTGGTGCCTTGGAATGATGAAAAAATCTTCAGGGAATTAGAAAGAAAGGAGAAAGACTGCATGTCACCATTTACATTTTCGAGGAAGTTTCTTACATCCAGTTCTTCTTCTTCTCTAAAAAATGGTTTACTAAATAACTGCTGAAGGTATGCATGCCGTCGAACTGGAACAGTAACTTTTCTTCCTTTATGCCTTTTATATAAAAGAAGCAAATCCAGAATGTATTCCACACCATGGAGAGGGTCAACCCTGCGGTACCCATACTGTATTTCATTGAAGTCAATGAGCCTTCCTCTAGATTTAGAGTTCTCATTGATCACTTCCATTACCTGCATGACAGTGTCATCAAGTGCTGCCCGCATGATGCTGTTAATGTTCTGTCTAGGTGGTTGATTCTCAGCCACAGAATAAAGAAGCTTTTCAGTTAGGAAGTCCCATTCAATTACTTCATTCCTGTCCCGTGGCTGGAAGCGATTGAAAGATGGCATCATTCCCAGAAGCTGATCGTCTTTGCTCATTTCATCACTACTGAGCTTGCTCATGAGGGCACTTTCCCTATGAAGCTGAATGGAGCGGTAACGCAATTCTGAAATTTTACGAGTCAATATATAATTGTGAAGCCTATACTGATAGGCTGGTCTTTTATTTGGATGAAGTGTAATTGCATTGTGAATTTTGCTGTTGTGAAGATCTTGTATGTATCCCTTTCTGTTGTGTTCATAGTTTTCATGGAACAACTGCTGCATCTAGAAAACAAGAGAATAAACACTATTAGGTGGCTCTAAGCAAAAAGAGATTAAGTAAACACTAGCTAAATCACATTATTATAATGTAATTTTATGTTTCTTCAGGAGATCAAATATAATCCCCCTCCCCCAATGATTTATCTTCCATTTCTATTATTCATGTAAGATAGAGAAGTTTGGCTGAAAAACAGAGACAGAGTGTAAAAGAGGAGAATGGTAAGAAGAGAACTTTTACTCTAATAAAAGTTTCAACAGCCAACTAGTCAGTTCTTATAATGGGAAAGCAATATGCCAAGCACATTTTAATTGAATTTTCCATAGTCCGTCTCGCCCAGATGCTGAGAACAGCATTTTAGAATTTCAGAATTAATCCCAGGATCTTCCCTATGCAACATGCATACTTGATCTCTGTATTATAGCTCTAGTTAAGACCCACTGAAGCTGAACTGGCTACAGCTTAATCCAAGTCCATTACACCAGGGAATATGTACTTAAAATAAGTTATATTTCTGCACAGGTATGCTTAGAAAAGGGTATACTGCGGAAACAGAAGAACGGCCTGCCTCAGGGGAGCGTGCTCGCTCCATCCATGTTCAACATCTACACAAATGACCAGCCACTGCCAGAAGGGACAGAGAGTTTCATCTATGCTGTTGATCGTGCCATTACCGCTCAAGCAGGGAGCTTTGAGATGGTTGAACAGAAGCTCTCCGAAGCTCTAGGTGCTCTTACTGCTTACAGGGAAAACCAGCTGATCCCTAATCCATCTAAAACACAGACATGTGCTTTTCACCTTAAGAACAGACAAGCATCCCGAGCTCTGAGGATTACCTGGGAAGGAATCCCACTGGAGCATTGCAGCGCACCCAAATACCTGGGAGTCACTCTGGACCGTTCTCTGACCTACAAGAAGCACTGCCTGAACATCAAACAAAAAGTGGGTGCTAGAAACAATATCATACGAAAGCTGACTGGCACAACCTGGGGATCACAACCAGATACAGTGAAGACATCTGCCCTTGCGCTATGCTACTCTGCTGCTGAGTATGCATGCCCAGTGTGGAACACATCTCACCACACTAAAACAGTGGATGTGGCTCTAAATGAGACATGCTGCATTATCAAAGGGTGTCTGCGCCCTACACCACTGGAGAAATTACACTGCTTAGCCGGTATTGCACCACCTGACATCCGCCGGGAAGTAGCAGCCAATAGTGAAAGGACCAAGGCAGAGACATCTCCAGCTCATCCCCTGTTTGGGTATCAGCCAGCACGTCAACGACTTAAATCAAGAAATAGTTTTCTTAGATCTACAGAGATACTCGCTTGAACACCTCAGCAAGCGAGAGTCCAAAAGTGGCAGGCTCAAACCCAGCACCTCAATCCGTGGGTGATACCAGATGAGAGACTCCCCCCTGGGCACACAGAAGACTGGGCAACTTGGAAGGCACTGAACAGACTGCGCTCTGGCACCACGAGATGCAGAGCCAATCTTAAGAAATGGGGCTACAAAGTTGAATCCATGACATGCGAGTGTGGAGAAGAGCAAACCACTGACCACCTGCTGCAATGCAACCTGAGCCCTGCCACATGCACGATGGAGGACCTTCTTGCGGCAACACCAGAGGCACTCCAAGTGGCCAGATACTGGTCAAAGGACATTTAATCAGCTATCAAGTTTGCAAAATTTGTGTTTTTTATCTGTTTGTTTGTTTTGTTCTGTTAGAAATCTAATACAATGTTCTGGTTGCAATGACACGATAAATATAAATAAATTCTAGTAGTATGCAGTAAGTTACATGATGACCTATAATTAGGAGTGACTCATTATATTTATAAAGAAAGCATATAACTTTTTGTCCATTAAAGCAAGGAAGGGGAATATATGGACTCACAGATATTTATGGATTTCAGCTTCCATTATCTTTTTACCACAGACCATGCTAGCTATGGATGATGGAAGCTGCAGTCCAGGAACATGTATAGGACCAGAAGTACCCCAACCTTATTGTAGTGATGTCTTTTGTAAATGGAAAAGTATTTCATCATCATATAAGATCACAGTCTGCAGACACTAAAACCCTATTTCTCTAACCATTCTTTAAAACAATGGTTCTCAACCTGGGGTCCCCAGATGTTTTTGGCTTTCAACTCCCAGAAATCCTGACAGCTGGTAAACTGGCTGAGATTTCTGGGAGTTGTAGGCCAAAAACATCTGGGGACGCCAGGTTGAGAACCACTGCTTTAAAAGGTCAATCATGGTGTAGTAGAGTATTTGTTCAATCTTTCCCCCACATTCTCTGAGTGTATTAAAAAAACACAGGATCAAATACAAAAGACAAATCTTTATATCAAAGATGTGTTGATAATTATGCCAAGTGATGGCCAACAGCCCAAAGTGAACTGACATTGCTGGTTCATCACCACTTTTCCTGATGTAGTGAGTAACTTCCCTAAATACACAGAATATACTATTCAATTTTTAAATATGGTTTGATAGAAGGGAAGTGTGTCTTAGAATTGAAGAAATACCGTAATTAAGTTATGCCAGGGGTCCCCAAACTAAGGTTCATGGGCCAGATGTAGCCCTCCAAGGTCATTTACCCAGCCCTCATGTTAAACTTTAGACTTAGGGTTGCCCTAAGTCTGAAACAACTTGAAAACACACAAAAACAACAGTCATAATTAATTTGATTAGTATAGGCCCCCTCTACACTGCCATGTAAAATCCAGAATAGCTGCTTTGAACTGGATTATATGGCAGTAAAGACTCATATAATCCAGTTCAAAGCAGATAATCTGGATTATATGATTTGATAATCTGGATTATATGGTAGTGTAGAAAGTGTGTAATAAAGCTAATATTCATCTTTATATGGAGTTCCATTGCAAGTTAGATTCTTGTCAGAGTCACTAAGAAAACAGAAAGGTCACTAGAAAAGGCAATTAAGGCATGTCACTTCCTAAGTCAGCCTTCCACAACCTGATGCATTTCAGATGAAGTTGGAGTGTAACTCCCACAATCTCAGCTAGATCTAAAACAGGGGTTCTTAACCTGTGGGCTGTGGGGCACCACTGGGCCACGAGGATGAAAATCTGGTCCACAAGCCTCCTTCCTCTTTATTTATTTCATTTATTTTATTTCTGCTCCTTTCATACCCCCTGCTCCTCTTTCCCTGTCGCTGACAATCCCTGACCCCTTGGATAGACCACATCAGCTCTATATTATTAAATATGGTTTTCTATGGGAGAGCAGATGGTGACTACTGGGTGGCATATTTTTTGTATAAGAAACCAGAGCTGATGTGGTCTATCCAATGCAATTTTCTGAATCAGCACCCCAAATAGCCAAACCAAATCTAAAGTTGACCAAAAACTGATTAGTAGCCCTTTTGTTACTAATGTTGGAGAGTGGTCCTTGGTCAAAGTGGTCTCTGGCCAAAGTGGTCCCTGGTCAAAGGGGTCCCTGGTCAAGAAAAGGTTGTGAACCACTGATCTAGAACACCAGGCTTAAGTAGAGGTAGTACTTTATTCCACAACTCCAATGTATATCAGGCTGTTGGTACAAAGTTACTCTGTATAAAAAACTTTAAAATAGATTGCCAAAAAATGAAAAAAGCATGTAAATTCATGTTAGAAAATAACTGGTAAACATGTTGGCTCTACTATGACACAGAATAGCCATGGAGTGTTTTGTAACTACAAACTGGATACCTAATGCCACTTAGAAGATTTACTAGAAGAACTGAGAACTGACTAATTCACTAATTAGTTTCTTGTTTTTTTTAATTCCCTGCAAACAACAGAAAATCTTCACCCACTTCAGGGAACAGAAATGCCCATTCTTCCAGGGAACTGAGGAAGAGGAGGAAGAGACAATGAAAACATCAATTTATTAGTTGAAAAAGAGTTAATTTTTAGAAGCTTATGAGAAATTATCAGGGTTAATACTTGTTTTACTTTGTTTCTCCTAACTATATCTGTTGAGATTCCGCCACCATCACCACTTACTTATGTAAACAAATGAATAGAAAAGCTAACATAAAAAGCTTTCAGAAACCTAAATTGTCCATAAAGGCACAGGAGATTGCCTATAAAAATAATGGATACACTCAAGAGGTATTGTTTTGAAAATCACTGGGGGCAAAGAAAGAGTGAAATTCAGTGGGACTTGCTACAAAAAAAAAAGCTTTCCATCTTTTTAATCAATTTTTTCCAAGGACAATTCATGACTAAAGTCATTCATCGAAGCTTTGCTTTCTCAGGAGGCACAGTCCAGCTTTTCATTACCATTCATCAGTTGAGAGACCTTTTTATTCTAGCTGAGAATTTTAAAAACCAGAACAACTACCAGCTTGCATTGTCAAAAAGCTACTTGGAAAAGCAATTTCCATTGGAATGTGAATTATCTGGAAAACGCAATAACAGTTGTATAATTAGTCACTAGTACAGTAATAATTCAGTTCCTCTCAAGACTACTTCAATTAGTGACCATCTACTAATGAAACATTTTAATTGATTTGTAATATGTTATAAAATATTGGATGAGTGCCAAAAAAACTGTCATTCAATCCCCAAAAGATGCTGTAGATGACCTGTTTTCAGAAAGGTGGGCAATCCTTTCTGGGTGAGATTTGCTTATCCCTAATGGTCAAACTGGAGTCTATCCAGCTTACAACAATGTATAGATCCAACCAATGTGGCATTAATGACATGGATAACCCAGCACCACATGATTAAAGAGTTGTCTTATCATTATTTATGTTCTTCAAGGTTGATTAGTACAATGTATTGTACACGGTGCTATCAACAAATAGTATCAAAGCAATTAACTAACCAGTCATCAAAGTTGCTGCACTGGCTTCTGATTCATTTTCCAACATAAAATTCAACATTTTGGTGCTTGCAATTAAAAGCCCCCATAATGTAAAACAGGATAATCCCAGACTAACAAACTTGGGAAGTGCTGTCAGGTCTCTTATTCATAGGATCACTGCAAA